CCGACGGAGGTGTGAATGAAGGTCGGGGTAGAGCGCTGGTGTGACGGCATTCTCCCACCTGACGATGCGCCGGCCCCGAGAGCGACCCTTCCGATGCTCAAGTACCGGGTGACGAGCTGATGACCGATTCCATCGCAGGAAGGACGTCCTTTCGGTGGAAACCTGAGTCTAACGACGTTGGTAGTACAAGGGTCTAGAGACAAACTCGATCATATTCAAGAAGACATCTCTTACAAATGGGTACCAAGGGAAGTCACTAGAGGTGGTCCAGTAATAGACATTACTTAGACCAAAGTAATTACGATAGTGTCCAGTCTACTGTGTTATTATTTGTGTAGGTAATTGTTTATTGACGTCTTTCTCCTATCCCCTGTGTGCCTAAGAGGAGGAAGGGCAATCAGTTCAGTGATTTTCATTTAAAGGTCTCCTATGATACTATTTTTACGCATATATTACAGGTCTCACATATATCAAAAATATGTGTTTTGCTCCAAATACAAACAGATCACCCATTCTAGCTGTGCCCCATACCCCTCTATTTCAGCCCGGTTAGAGAAGTGATGAATCTGGGTCTGTGGCTTTAAATGTAACCCGAGCTGCTGCTGGTCACGCCCCTTTGGAGCATGCATGAGCTGTCCTCTGGGAAGAGAGAGGTTTCTACCCAGATTCTCAGCTAAATGCTGCTGTGATTAAACGCCATAATATGTTCCAAACCACATCAAGGATTATTTCTGAAACAGTATGGAGCTCAAATGCTTTTTCTCTCGCGGGTTTACCACCAGGTGAGTTCCTTTTTATATCCTGAATCTTTACACATACTCTCTCCAGTACAGCGTTAGCTCTGAGTGTTAGCGGTGCTTGCTAATGTAAACACAGACCATATTATGTCCAAAACACGTTTCTGATAGGGCCGTTTTATGACGACATTTTAGTAATGTCGTCATGGCCGCAGCAAATCTGCATCAGCTCCGTTGTACCCCCGTTTTTAGAGATGTGGGTAAGGAGGAAAAGAGAGAGGATTGCATTTTCTGACACTTTGTGAGTCCTCCACATACTGGGGACACATCATTATGTATAAAAGACATCAAAAAGGGCCTTTTGCATAATAGGTGACCTTTAAGGAATACACAAACAGAGACACAAACTCACCCTCTGTGAGGCAGCTGCAAAAGCCACACTGGAAGCGCCGCCCCCCCTCTATAAACTGCATGTACGGACACATGTAGGCCTTGCAGCGGTTGCAGCGGATCGGACCCCCCTCGCCGTGGTCCACCAGGTATGGAGGGGTCTGACAAGAGATACAAGGAAAGGAGTAAGACGAGACAGACTTCCTCTAAACCCTGATGTGGGAAGAATTACTGAGAAAGGAAGTCATGAAGAAATATTTACACCATGTTTTAGATTAAGTGTTTCTTTGCCAAAAATGATGTAACATTAAACTGAGTTACACTTGTGTAAGTGGTAAGTGCATAAAACAAGGTCATGCAGTTGCTCCCACCTCTGGGATTTTGAGACAGATTATAGCACTGCCACAACCGGGATCCTGTCATAAAAACCTCAGAGGCTGCAGGCATTGCCCTGAAATTAATCCTTTTTCAAATCAGGTTAAAAAGGTCAGACTGTTATGAAATCTCAGCGGAGGATAGAGCTGCTCAGGGGGGCTCGGATGAAGAGAGAGACACAAGCAAAGGACGCTTGTTGTTGAGTCAGACAGTAAAGATTAAACTAATTAAACTCATAATTTTCTCTATAAAATAGCTTTTATGTTTTCAAATAAAAAAAATTTGAGCACATGTCCAAGGCCAGAATATATTCAGTTTATTGTCAAACATGATAAAGCTAAATCTAGAAAATGTTTGCTTGAAATTTGTAAGTAGTCCAGTAATAGAATACTTTGTTAAAGCTCTAAGCACAGACAACAACCTGGAGTGTAATACGCTATAAATATTTCAGCCCGAGCTCTATCTTCTTTCTTAAATAAACAGAGAATTCATAATCCTCATTCCATATCAGCCACCACCCCTTTTTACTTCTTTAAGGTCTTTAAGGTCCTGCTACTATTTACATGCCCCACCCACTACGATACATGACTATTGTATTGTTACTCATATCATTTTAATTATTATTTTGTGATTTTTCACTCTCTTTTTGTTTAATCCCATCGTTTTTGTTTTCTTTTTTGTCTTCATGTATATTTTGTAATTTGTCTTTACTTGTAAATTCACCTATCTGTCTTCTGTTTATCTGTGACACTGTACTTGTATGTACTTGTCTTGTACCTCCTATATCACTAAATAAAATTACAACAAATTAAATGAACACAGATAATCTCATAGATGATCTTGTGACATATAAAAACATCTAAAGATCAGACAAAAGAAGAAGAGACTTGTCTACATAGGGATAACAAAATGTAAAAGATCAGGAGAGACGGAAGATAGAGGAGAGGAGGGGGCGTCGCTCACCTCATCTGGGGGCAGCGTGGCGAGGGGCTTGATGACGGCGGCCAGAGGCACCTGAGACTGCTTGGCCATATCGGCCGTGCAGGGCATGTTGTAGGCCGTACAGCGAACAAACCTGGGACTGGCATTCCCTGAAGAAAGTCAAAAACTATACATTAATATCCATTTTTACAAGGTCAAGTTCTTCAATGTTTTTATCAATGTTTTGCAAGTAATTACGTATGGAAAAAAAGTCAAATTAGGGATCATTCTGGGAGAATTTCATCCGAAATGGTCCTTTTTGCAATATTTGGTAGACTGAAGTGTGTGAAAAACACTTCCAGCATCTGCATGCTTTAACAGGAAGTAGAACGTACCTTGGTCTTTGACCTGGAAGGTGGTGGTGACCAGCGGAGGGGCCTGACCTCTGACCCCTGTGGTGAACGGCTCCGTGCTTTTAGCCCTGTCGTCCTCTATTACCTGGATCTAAGGGGGGAGGGGGAAATATAGATTTTTACCACTCATGTTTATAGCGTAAAACAAACATGTAAATGTATTGCCACTGAGTGTCACAAAAGTATAAAAGAGGAACATTGAACAAACATGCAGGAGATGACTTCCACACGACCCCTACACACACACACATCTGCAGCTACTGAACACACACTGAGAACCCATCAACATCTGTGGAAAAAACAGTCAGTCTACGGTGATTCTTCGAGAAGGCGCAGGAATGATCAAGGCATGCCATTAATGCAAGAAATTGTAGGCAAGTGAAACATCACAGGCTCGCATGCAAGACGCAGAGAGGCGGTGGCTGTCTGAGGACTGACAAACCATAAAAACAAAAGTACTCTACACTACGATAGGCTGCGTCAGTCCTGACCGAACACACAGACAACAAGATAAATAGTGAGGCAGTAAAGGATGACTTAATGTGCACATGATGATAAGTAGAGGAAGAATTGACAAACTATCAAATAAAAGTTTGAGGAATTGCTTTAAATGACATGTAATTGGGTAATGTACAATTTCTGAAAAGATGCCACAATAAAACACCAAAAGGAACGTAAAGGTTATACAAGAGCTCCGTGTTAAATGTGTAGGGATACAACATGTTCATCTTTTAGCTTTAGAGGCGCTAGTTGTCCTTGTTAGACAGAGCCAGGCTAACCCCCTTCAGTCTTTATGCTAAGCTAATTTAGCTGGATACCGCTTCATATCTTGTGTGTTATGTGAGTGGTATCAATCATCTTAATCTCGGAAAGAAAGCAAGTAATTGTATCGCAAAAAAGTATACTATTGCTTTTAAACAATGTCACTTAAACCGGGCTCTCATTTGGACTGCAAACCTTTTTTATTAGGGCAGCTGTTAAAACGCAAAAATGTATCAGTGATAAATGTACAGCAACAGTTTAGAGTAGGGCTGCTCAATTATAGACCCTCCAGAAAAACGCGATTCTGCGATCGCAGAATTTACCGCATAATCAGCAAAATGGCGCAGATTTTTAAAGGCCGCATATTTATCAAAAGGCCGCATAATCCCCGCATTTTTCCACACAAAGTTGAGAAAAAAAAAAGTTAACTCGTCTTGACGTGACGTCATCAGCTCGCGCATCACAGAATGTAAACAACACTGTATAGAGTGAACGTGTGGAGCTCACACGATAGAGAAAACACCAAGATGAAAAATCTAATCCATCTCATTTACCGACGAACATTTCTACTAAAGACCGGGCAAAAAGTGGGGGGAAACTATTCTGCACCCCGTGCAACTGTGTGTTGGAGCATAAGAGAAAATCGACGGTGACGACCCACTTTGATTCATTCAAACATTCGAAAATGCTTCTGCTGCTGCGGACAAGAAAGCCATTCAACTCACGTTCACCGAGGCATCAACCTCCAAAACCCTTTCGAGGGCTACAAGAAACGAAGTGACTAGCCTACAAGATTGAGGCTGCAGATAACGAACGAGTAAATGAAAACAGAACGAGGCGGAGAAGTGTGTGTGTGTGTGGGTGTGTGTGTGTGTGTGTGTGTGTGTGTGAGAGATTAAAATAGCCCAATTGCTTTTAAAATAAATAAACATTGAATGTGTTTAATTGAATAGTAAAGGGGTTTAACGTTAGTGGCCGGTTGTGTGTGAGAGAGAATAAATAAGACAGCCCAATATTTAAAAAAAATGTTATTCTTTTCCCGCATATTTAGCATATTTCGCAACTTCCCGCAATTTCACCGCATAAAATCACATAAAAACCCTGCATGTTTAATCGCATAATCAAGGATTTAAGCCCGCATAATCAAGGATTTTTGCCTGCGTTTTTCTGGAGGGTCTACAATTAAATCGTATTTTAATCGCAATTATGATTTTGGCTTGCAACGATTATGAAAACAACATAATTTTTTTTTTTTTTTATTGGTTTTTCAGTTGAATTATACATAAAGTTCAGGGTAATCAACTGTTAAAAACATACTGTTCAACATTTTTTTTCAATAAATGGACGTTTTCAAAGTAAATGGATAATCGTTTTTAATAATCGTGATATCAATTATTGACCCAAATAATCGAGATTATGATTTTCGCCATAATCGAGCAGCCCTAGTTGAGAGTTCCCTTCCTTTTAGAATAGGGCTACACTGGTGAAACATGGTAATAAGCAGGGATGACTGAGCCATTCACAACATCTTTCACATATCCCTGACTCTGAGGGGTGAGGAGAGCAGGCGGGGGGGAAGCTGTGAGTGAGTGCAGGCGGGCGGAGAGGACAGGGTGAAGCGGAGGAAGAGGCAGGCACTCAGGAGACTTACTGGGCTGGGGATAGCGTCTGGATCTATTCTATGTCTTGATTTCTGCACAGCCGGCATGTCAGACGCTTGCTTTACATTCAAAAGATTGTCCAGCAATTTGTGCGAATCAGGACAAAAATAAATAAAAAAAAATAAAAAAAAGAGTGAAAATATAAAAAAGTGTGAGAAGAGAGTAGTCAGCAAGACTCTACTGAGTGGCAAGGCAGCATTGTTGTTATTCAGACAGAAACTTGATTATTGATTAGTGGTATATGTAAATAACAGTCAAGCACTAGAAGATATAGACACCGGGAGCCTGTTTGACACACATGCTAAACAGCTTTAAATGTAAAGACAAGGTCAAAATATAACTCTTATACTTTTGTGGTGTAAAAGCTTGGCAAGATGTAGAAAATCAAAGAGGGAAACATTGCATATACTGTGATATCCAGTAGCGAATGCAATGTCCCTGGACGAGAAAAACAAATGTTTAATTTAATTTTAAGCTAAAAGCACACAACATTAAAAATCTCTCTTTTTAATTAAAGACAAGTCAGCATTAAAAATGACAAAATGAATACAAAAAACAGGAGAAATATAGTCCCACTAAAAGAGTCAAAGAACAAAACAGCTACAGATATTTCAATTCTTGTTTGAAAGATTAGTAAAATTGTTATAATTCACTCAAACATTGATATAATTTTGTCAAATGAATAATGATATCATCTAAATTCCTTTTTGACCTACGCATCACTTATTGACAAACACTTAGGTGGTACATGCTACATCATATACACTCAGTGGCCACTTTATTAGGTACACTTGAACAATTCAATGCAATTTCCTACTACAGCTCAGCCATGAATTCAAAACTTTACAATGTTAAGATTGAGTGAAATTGTCAGAGATTCTGTTTAGGTGCTACTTGTATGGCAGGAAGAATAGCCAATATTCGTGCTAACAGAGATCCTAATAAAGAGAAAGATAGATAGGTGTACAGAACTGCTTTATATCGAGGTGAATGTAATGCAGCTCGGTACACCACTATGTCCTCCATGCTAGATTGAATTGTCAGCATTAATAGGCATCAAGTAAATGAAGTGGACACTGAGTGTACTTTCAAAACTTGCTCACTACTTCTTACTATCTCAAAACATGGTGTGAAAAACAGAGATGGCCACAGATGTGTGTTTCGCTGTAAACTAAGACATTTGGATTTGAGAAGGACGCGTGTGTTTGTTAGGGTTTGCTCACCGGGCTAGGAATGGCATCGGGGTCGAGTCGTTTCTGTGCAGCGGGAGCAGGAGCGGGCGCTGGTGCAGGAGCTCCGTAGTTTGGTTGACCGGGATAAGGGCCCGCATAGCCAGGCTGAGGGCCCCTCACCTGCCCAAACGCACCTAGAGGAAACCATCACAGGTCTTTTTAGCTACCACATATTGTGAAGTATATTCTGAACAAAATATGACAATATTATTCCGACAATGATCAAAGTATGCTTCAAATAGCTACAAAACATTCTAAAATTACTTTACCTGACAATTAGTTAAGAAACTAATATTTATATGGCATTACAGCAAGGACACTTTTTTTTCTTCTTAAATAAGGCAAATCATGAGATTCCCTTAAATAAATAAATCATTTTTGAAAATAGCAACAATGTTTAAGCCTTTTCTTCCTTACATGATAAGTAGTAGTCAAAATGTTTTCGTACTTCTCTCACAAGAGCATTTTGACAGCTTTTTAAAAATACTCATGTGAGAATATTCACAAAACCTTCAAAAAGAAAATGGCGTTAAAATCTTATGCCTGGTCTCCTCACCGTTCTGCTGGGGGGGGTATCCTCCCTGCATGCCAGGCTGAGGCGGGGGCTGCTGCATGGCCCCTGGGGGACCTGGGGGACCCTGGGGTCCTGGAGGCAGGTGGTTGCTCTGGGCCATGGAAGTAGGGGGCATCTGAACTCTGGGAGGAGGGGGGCCTGAGTTGTAGGGGGATGGCTGGGATGGAGGGGGCTGCTGTTGGGGTGGCATGGGGCCTGGGTACTGGCCAGGGTGCATGGAGATTTGAGGAGGAAAAGACCCGGCCTGTGAGGAAGGAGGGGGGGCTCTAGGTGGGAAGGAGCCCTGAGAGGGGGGAGGCGGGCCCGAGTTGAAGGCAGGATGGCTGGCAGGTGGAGGTGCTGAGGAGAAGGGGGGCTGGGCTGGGACATGGGGGGGGCCGGAGCTTGGCTGGGTGGAGACACGTGACCCGAGTAGGAGGAGGGAGGAAAGGTTTGCTGAGAGGAAGGAGGAGGGGGAGGAGCTGTAAACTGCTGCTGGGAGGTGGGGGGAAGAGGAGAGCTGAATGGCTGTTGAGAAGGAGGTGGTGGTCCTCCGTAGTATTGCTGAGGAGCTTCGGGGCCGCTGGGATGGGGAGGCTGGGTCGGGGCAGCGGACGCAGAGGGGGGCGCCTGAGTGTAGGAGGGGGGAGGGGGGGCGGAGTAGGGGACACTGACAGGAGGCTGCGAGCTCTGAGGCGGAGCTGAGGAGAGACGGCAGACACTGATTAGTTCCAGGAGAAATTAGGGCTCTCATAGGGCCGACCCAACAGTTTATTATGATTCACATTCTATATCCATATTCTAATGCTGTGCCGGTTTTTAGCATGTTCCTTCATTCTGTTTAAAGCTTGTATTTCTGCACAGTTGCAGATAAAGATAAGGCAACATTCTTTTGATTAGTGTTTTACTATTTGTAGAATAAGATTCCACTGGGGGCTGAGTTTCTAACTTGTGTGATCCAAACAAGTCCAGTCAATTCAAATTGTATTGAATAAAGATAGATATGTACTTGGCAAAATTCACAAAATGTTTTAATGGAAAAATGTTATGTAATCGATATTTGTTGGTGTTAAGCTAAAAAACTATTAATTAACCCCTGCTGAAATAAATTGATTTAATAAAAAAAATACTAAATCCTTCAAAACAATGATTCTCTACTAAAATTGATTTATAACGAGGATTTTTTTGAGGTGATAACATCATAAAATATGACAGTAGACAGATACGCTTTGAGTACACTTGAGTACAAATCCATGCAGTTACCATATCCTGGCCCTGCAGGGGTCGGCGGTCCAGAAGTGATCTGCATCCCAGTCATGTGGTTAGTGACCTGTTGCATTGTGGGTTGGGGCCCGTAGTGTTGGGAATAGGCAGGTTGTGGCCCTGACAGGTTCACAGCTCCCTGATTGTATGGCTGGGACGCAGCCGGCCTGAAAAAAAAACAGAAATCTCTCAGTGGCCATGTTACGAGTAAAGGAGCGATCATGAAGTATCAGTGGGTTCTCCAATTAGTTAAGTTGTCTCTAGAAGTCCAAGAGGGCCATGCTCTGTCTGTCGCAAACTACGCTGTCAGTCCCCTTCACATACACTCACTCAAAAATAGTCAGGACCGACTGACGCCACATCTTCTATCCCTGATTCAGCTCAAATTAGAAAGCCATGTATCCAAAAATACTGACGGGGTTGAGGAGAAATCTGCTTAAAATAACAATGTTTTATAAAAACCAAGGGCTGAATAAACTTGGGAACAACAATCAATCCACATGTTATTACCTGGGTGGTGCCTGTGTCATAGGTAGGGGGCCATTCTGCATGTCCCCTTGACTGTGACTGTACTGATTATATTGTTGAGGCGATGATACTGGAGGGGCTCCAGAGGTGGGGGGACCCCTGGCAGGACCTGAAATTAAGAGGCAAAAGATTACACAATGCTAAATGCATAAACATCACTGCGACACATAATCTTGAATTCATTCTGATACCAAGCTTTCTAATGTAACGAGATTAGAGTAGCAAGCTAAAAATTGCTTTTGGCCAAAGTGGTGCCTGAATACATTTATAGAACTAACTGATTACACTCCTAAACATGGCCCCCAAGGTTAGGAGCACAGACAACATACTGACAGCAGGCCAGCAAACAGCGAGCGGTAAGGGGGTCAGTTAGATTTTGATGCTAAGGCTGGAAATAAACACCAGACATCGGATATTTTTAGGATATCAGATCAAGTAAGCAACTGTCAGGAAGACAACTCGTCTTGGATTTCTGCTGTATTAATGTTACAGTCATGAGATTAGTACAGTAATAAAAAGTAGGGTAGAGGAAGAAAAAAGGGTGAATTCCACACCTTCTGGAAACTAAAAAACACACAACAAGTGTGTTCAAATGAGAAAATGACCAGTAGGTGCTGAGATTGAATTTCAAACGTGAACAATTAAGCACACATTTTAAGGCTATACAAACGTTTGGTAATAATAAAAAAAAAGGTATGTAACTGGTTGGCTGCTTTGCTTTACAGTCAGTGGTGTCAGGTAAAATCTAATATATGGTACTTTAAGAAAAGAACAAGTCAGAACGAATAATGCCCGTAGGTACAGAGAGGATTCGATGATTGCAGAGCTTTTGGAGCGTGAAATGAGTAAGAAATAGAGAGGAGGCAGTTACCTAAGTCAAGAGGAGAGGAGAGGTCAGAGGCTGGGTTGGCAGCCACAGCCTTAGAGGGAAAACTTGTGAAAGGGGAATAACCTGAAATACAAGAAAAGACGGAGAGAAAGGAAAATGCAGAGAGATGTAGGGAAAAGCATAAAGCAATGTGAAGAAATGAGAGGGCAGTCAAGGTTCAGATTAGTATGCAGAGGCATAGTGCTGTCTCACACATACATGAACAATCACACAGAGAAGGAGTCAGGTAGGACGCTCCTGCAGAGAATCACAGCTGACATGGTGGCTCTCACTTCCTCAAGGCAAACCTATTCCGAAGCAGCACTTTACCTTGTGGTGGGGCCCCGGGTTGGAAGGCTGAAGCAGGGCCGTTGTAGCCAGCGTAGGGTGCGGGGTATCCCCCATCCAGGGGGGCGTAGCCGGGCTGGCCGTAGCCAGGCTGGGGCTGGCCGTACGGAGTGGCCATTGGAGTGCGCTGGTTTACATTCATCCTCAGTTCATCCCTAAATCTGGATTAAAGCATGACACAATAAAAAAACATATTACAACAAATCATAATACAAGATTGAACCATTTTTCAGGCTCTAAACAGAACAACAAGGATGACTGGTGTTAAAGCCAGCACGACAGGAGTGTTATTAATGAGAAAGGCTGTTGTGACAGGCGTGGGTTCCTCTCATTCTAAAGATTGACATTCTTTCCAGAAGCAGGGGAGAATCTGCCCACACAGCACACCTTGCTCCATGAGGTAAAAGTGAACTACAGACAGTCAGACACAATTGGTCTTAGTTTACTGACGAGGGATACTTCAGATAGTTTGAAGTGGGGGTGTATGAGGTCCTGAGTATGTGTATTACCTATAGTAGATGGTGGCCAGAGAGCCGCCAGTTAGGAAAAAATAAAGTAGTAAGGCCACATGGCTTAGCAATGTACTGCTGTGGTAAAAACAAACTGTCAAGTTGCTAGTTCTAGTAACTAGTTAAAAAGTATTTTAACCAGTAATTTTCCCAGCAGAACATCAGAGAAGTTGGTCTGTTGCTGCCTCGATCTCCTAGTGTGTTTGTGTTATTATGTGACAAAGTTGTTTGAAAGGCTAAGTCTGGATTTTAAAAAAATCTATTTGATAAAGGAGTCTGGTTGCTTTGAAGAAAGAATAAGTCACAGCTTCCTCGTCAGATCCTAGGCTGCCTGATGGCATGTTAAAGCATTAAATATTCAAAATATAATGTCAATTTAAATTGAGATAAACCTATTGTTTTACATGGGACTTTTTATATGCGCGTCCAGCCCGTCCACAGCAGTCCATTGCTTTGTTTCCATGGATGTTCAGATTTTCCAAAATGGGGGAGTGCCAACGGCCATCTGATGTTGACATCTGATGTAGACGATTAATAAGTATTTCAAACAATCCACTCTATCCCTTTAAGGCAAACATGAACCCAACTAAGTTTGCTGTCACATTACACCTGAACCAACAAACAGGAGGAGCAATGCCAACATTTCTTTTTTTCAGAATGAACAGATCTTTGCTCTACAAGTTTCCATGGCCAGAAACATATTAACAATTAACCACACACACACACACACACACACACACACACACACACACACACACACACACACACACACACACACACACACACACACACACACACACACACACCTCTCAAAGTGGACCACAACTTAAACCTTACAATTTGAATACGAATCAAAACAGACAAACGGTATGATAGTAGCTAGTAGTCTCTCAGCTATTGATGGAGGTTTAAAGGCCATGTGTGTGTAAAGGCAGTCTGTAATGTCTATTGGACTCTTTATGGACCTGAGTAAGGTGTTTACAGGTCATAGGAAAACACCAGGTTCTAACTCAGTGGGACAGTCAACTTTAAGTGCATGGTTACTTCTGCATATGTCAACTTCAACGTTGCTATCAGAAGTTCACAACATGGCGTTGTTTATGCATTTGGCACCTGAAGACTGGGCTTACCTATATGACAGACATGATGACAGAGTGATAAGTATCATCTTACAGAGAAACACTGGCCAAACGAGCGGGGCTTTAAATAATTCAGCGGTGCAGGTGCCACAACGAGAAATACAATCGCTGTAGCCGTACAGCCTTTTAACTTGTGTGTGGGGCCTACTGAGTGACCCACATCTACTCTCCTAACTGGACTGCATATTTAAGGGATTCAGTTAGCAGTTTCAGTAGAGACAGTAGAAAGCTATTCAAAACTGGCAAATATTTGAGAATAATACACGTATGCCAGTTTCGTAGGGGTGAGGAGTGATAGCTGACAAACTGAGGAAAGCTAGCAGTGTGCTAACGGGAACAACCTCAGTGCCGCAGTACAGTTAGTTGGTTAGCTTAGCTTATGTCAACCAAAACCACAAAACAGAGTCTGGTTAACAAGCCGTGGCTAACTGTTGGGGGTTTACAAAAACACAATACGGTATATTTGATTCCGTAATTCATGGGGGCTATCTAAGCTTGCTAACGTGAGCAACCACACAGCTTGAATCATGATGACAGCAGCAGTGGTTGAATCAGCTGTGACCAGATCGCCACAACCAGGGACAGCTTAGCCTACTAGCTTAGCTAGGCTAGTAACCTCCAACTATTTCGCAGAGCGATGCTAGCCCTGCCATAGCAGTAGCTAGCATTAGCAAGCATAGCAACATTCAAGCTCTCACGTCAAACCGGGCAGGGATATCACACATTCCCTTGTTTTATATCGAAACCTACCTCCAAAGTGTTGTAAAGAGTAAGGCTATCCTCTGCTTGGAGCAAACGTTGAAACCCGGTGACCGACAAACTGTGAAGTCGATGTCGTCCCGGGGTGTTTCTCACTAATCCCTTCTCGGAATCAGAAGCGGACATTCAGCGGAACTGCTGCAACGCTGTGCCACGTCCACATCCGGACAGAGAGACTTCCCCCAAACTCACCTCTCCTACCGAGAGCTCTGCTCTGGTGAATAACTGTAAGGAAGCTTTTCTATGAACTCAGGTGTTTAAAATAAAAGTAAGTATGAGTTCGACGTGTTATTGTCTAGCTTGTGTGAAGGTCATTAGAATGTATGTGTATGTGAAGCTTATAAGGAATTTGACCCCTGGTGTTTACATTGCTCTAACACAGAAATAGACGTAACAGATGGGAACAAGAATAATAAAGCCGAGCAAACACATGTAATTAATCGACAGGTCTATTATATTTCAGTGATTAAACATAATTAAATACATTTACTCAAGTAACCAAGTAAAGTTGTGTGACTGCGTCTTGCGGCTGCAATGCTAAGTGACAACATCTGTCCACAGAGACAGAAATATAAAAAACTAGCAAAGTACTCAAAAAGGTTTCAGTGCCTGCTGTAGGTGTCTCAAGCAATACATTTTGCCATAATAAAATACACACAGACTCCCAAGGTGCAAACAATACCAGCGTCTTGTGGGTTTCCACCTGTTTGCCATAGCAAGTATAGCTAATCCTTCCAGTCATCTATCAAATAATTATAATGTGACAAGATGTATCCATCTGAAATGGGCCTTCACCAACAATTTAAAATAATCCCAGGCCAATATCTGGCTGCCATTTGGCTACATTTTGGGGTGCAAACTGAACCACCTAATGGGAAAAATGTGGGCCTAGCTCTCCTTGCAATCAGGTCCAATTTGGAATTATTTTAGGGCGCCATTCATCACAAACCTGTACGAATTTCATTTGATCAACACAATTAAGCTGCAAATGGGCCAAGTCATTTTGACTGGCTAGACTCTGCAATCCTCTGCCTTTAATATGCATGATCAGAGGTGATGAAGCTGATGAACAGAATCCTGAGGGCCAGAATTCATCGTTTTTCCTATCGCAGCAGAAAAGCTTGCCAAGATATAACTTTCCCCCATTGACTGAACTTTTTTATGACATTTTGGGACATCTGAAGGAACAACACACAACTCAAAAGGTTAGCTCTCTCTAACACTCTGATGCCAGATAAATAAAAAACAACTGAAATCCCCCCCCTGTACTATAAGGTTGGGGCACTGTGGGTAGATGAAGACAAATGTTCGAGCTGCAGCCGCTGACCTGATCGGCTGAGCTGAGGGTCAAAGAGGGAGGGGTGGTGGTTATTTCGGGAGAGTTTATCAGCAAGCATCCCGTCCTGTGCAGAGTGCCTGAGAGTGACATGGCGAGTGTTGAACGCGAGAGAGGATGAACACACACACACACACACACACACACACACACACACACACTCTATTGCCCCTTCTCACCCTCCTGAGCGCCCACCCTCCGACACAGCATTCCAGTGTAGCAGACGAAGGCCAGCCTCCCTCTGTCTCCCCGTGGGTGGAGAGATTTGCCTTGGTCACAGAGAGGATCGAGAGAAAGACCTCACTCATTGATACTCGAGGAGTGTGAGGAACTGAGGAAGGGGATAACAACTTATTCACCATCATACACACACACACACAGTAGGCTGTGAGCTGGGATGGTAGCCGAGGAGATTGTGGTGTCCCTCGCTGGAGGCTCCCCGTGGGGCTTCAGGCTGCAGGGTGGAGCGGAGCAGCAGAAACCTCTTCAGGTGGCTAAGGTACAGTTTGTGCGTGTGCATACATTATGAGGCAGAAAAGACTTTCCAAGGTGGTAACATGAGTAGACAGGTTTAACGGAGACTGCAGCTGTTAATTGCGGTTTGAGGCCGTTTGCTGTGTTTGTAATCCACGCGTTGATTAGAAACGTTATCGTAAACATAAAATGAACAAATGAACTCGTAGCTCATTTAATTGGTGTCCCACTGGGTTTTATTTTGGTGCCTTCATATTTTTTCGGATGTAAAAAAACTAAGAAATCTTGTCAGTGTAATCATCTAGTTCTTTCATACACATTTTAGTCAGTAAATGTTTTTCTTGTTTGTTTTTAGCTCATTTTTAAAAGGCAAAATGTACCGTGTTATGGAGAGCATCTGTAAAATGGAGAGGGATTAGTTTGATTAGTGATTAAAATGCTTTGAAAGTAAGTGTTACTCTGGAACATTGAACTGTTCTACTGGTAATCGAGTCGTTTTGACCACAAATTATCATCTCGCTGCAACAGAAAAATTATCATATTCTCAAATGTTCTCATGATCTTTTGGTCAAAGCCAATTTAATACACTCTTGTGATTCTGTTGGGTTTGTGGGTAAAAGCGTGAACACATGTTTAGACTGATTTGAAAGTGGAAGGACTCATCAGTGCATCCTAATGCGATCACGCAGTATCAGAGACTATCAGTGTCTACTGTGAACACACACACCCAGTCAATAATGAACTTGTTTCAGATCTGTCATCGTCACATATTTATTAGATATAATAATCCAACTTAAAGCCCCCAGGAAAATTCTCCTTTTTTCCAGTTTGGTTTTTCCAAAAGCTTTTTGTGTCTGTGTTTATGTTTGTTGACAATCCAGTATGTAGTCTCTAATAAGAAAATCTATTCTGGAGAGGAGGAATGCGACCTCACTCACACTGACGTTACAAAAAGTTGGCCGGTCACTCGAGCTGTCATAACTTTTGATTCAAAATGGACGAGGAGTGGCTTTGGCACGATAGGCCTCTCCTTATCCAGGATTTTAAGGCAGATAAGGTCACCTTTGATATGAGTTTGATCAGTGTGTTGGTGTATATGTGACCTGTCTGTGTGGGTGTGTGTGGTTGGGCATACCTCAGTTAAGCCCATTTGGGAATGGAGCACAAACTAGAGCATAAGAATTGCTTATTTTAAGAGGGGTTGGAAGCTGAGAATAGAAAAAGGCCTTTTGTTCACACAGAGCCAAACATTGAAACATTTCCTGTATTATGTCGTTTTATTTGTAAGTCAGCATTGGCCCAATATTGGTGCAATTGTTAGTTTTATTTTCAGTTTTCCATCACATTAGCGCCTCTCTTTCTTGTCTGTTGATATTCCTGCCAGGTTTTATTTTGGGTTTGTGGGGAACATATGGTGAATGACAGGCATCTCCCGGTGGATACCAGCTGTTAAAACCCCCTCTTTCAAGTTCACGTGTGTGTGTGTGTGTGTGTGTGTGTGTGTGTGTGTGTGTGTGTGTGTGTGTGTGTGTGTGTGTGTGTGTGTGTGTGTGTGTGTGTGTGTGTGTGTGTGTGTGTGTGTGTGTGTGTGTGTGTGTGTGAAAGTACAAGATAGGCAGCTTGTCTTTGCTTGTGTGCTCTATGAGCCAGCAATGTGATTAATGGGTCAAGAGATACAGATAAAGGCAAATAGAGTCCAAGTAGGTGCAGGAACACACTTTCCATTTTTGCAGATAAGCCGTATGTATTATTAGTGTGAATATGTGAGGGGTTGAGAGGCTTTATCTTCTTCTAATAGAGGAAACTGCAATCTGGTGGACAAGAATACTTTCCTTCCCATTTATCACCCACCGCCCGCAGACATACTTCCTGAAGGATCCTATGACATCATCTCTTAGCGACCTCCAGGAACAGCTGCATGACTTCAGGAGTTATTCTGATACAGGGGGCAAGGATGGCTGTGGGTGAAAAACATTGGAGCTTTAGGTCAATCTGTAGGACTTTTACAGGGAGAACATTAAAGTAACAAATCTGCATGACTGCCACCGAAAGGATTTAAAGACCTAAAAAACTTTTATTATAATATTATAATTGTCTTTTAGGATAAAATAAGATAAAACATTATCCATCGCAAATTCCTTGGAAAGTGTTCCACCTCAATTTCAGAATAGTTTACATTTAGAAGTCAAAGTTGCATGATTTTTAAGCTTAGAAAAGCTTTCTCTCTTTATATTTAGTAAATGTTCAAAAAAGTGTGGCAGGTGCACTTTGATGAGGGTATTTTTACAGTGGGCTGGCATCAAGAGCAAACAACTCCACAACTTTAATAAACTCTGTCAATATGAATCTTAAAGTGCAAATATAAACTTTAAGATAACAACAAGGTGCAAACCCGAAATAATATATAATCTGCATTACCAAAATGTAATCCTGAGTCCTTCCACTTTCAAATCAGTTTGACATGTGTGAATGAATAGTTCAAATAACTGTAAAATGTCATTTCATTCATGTATGACCCCATCACTAGTAGTAGCAAGCTGCTAAGACACTATGTTTAAAGTCACTTAAAAAAAAAATATGTGTGTGAAAAAAAGCTTTATTTGTTGCTGTGATATATCACAACATATTCATCATTCAGACTTACGTTTTAAACTGTTCCTGACAACAACAGAAGCAAAGTATTATTTCAAGTAAAAATACATCATATTGAGAAGCTTCAGTTAAAATATAGGAGTTAGCACTAAAGAGATTCACAATACGTTTTGTGGGACATTTTGTGAAACTTAAAACAACAAAACAGAGGTTCCTAATATTGGGGTTGTGCTCCCACAGGGCTTGCAAGAAAAACAAGATAATAAATAACATTAGGACACAATAAATTATGTAATTCTTCCTTTATTCTAAGCGTTTATTTCTTGGGAAATAGTAGATATCTTCGACTGGAAAACCCTTTGGACACAACTTGTAGACATCAGTGTCATAAATAATATAAATGCTAATAAGTATTGGAAGGTGAAGATCAGATGGGAAAGTAGACAATTTATAAATGTGTATATTCACAGCAGCTACCAGTATGAACATGTTATTGATCCCTGTCTTCTCTCAGGTGCGCCGGCGCAGCAAAGCATGCAAAGCTGGCCTGAAGGAGCATGACGAGCTGGTTGCTATTGGCGATCATACGTGTGCCGGGCTCAGTCACTCTCAGGCCATGACCCTCATAGACACGGAGCTTGCTACGCTCTACCTCAGGGTCAAAAGGTCAGAACATGGACCCCCACACTGTACTTAAGTCAGTCTTTTTTAACTGAAGCTGTAACAAGCAAACTGATGTGTG